TCTCTGTCTCTGTCGCTCTCTGTTTTCCTCTTTTCATTACATACATAGCAGGGATGGACACAGCGTTAGATAAACAATGTGTTCCTGAGCTCAGATAATACCTATCATGACGGCTGCCATTTCCCCCTCTTTTCCCAGACACAGACGATGTCTACTTTTTCAAACTGCTCTCATGAACACATACTTACAGAATATTAAATGCAGTTATGGCTCTGTGCACACTGTCACCCATATTTGTGTGTAAATATGAATGCTCACACACACGCACACACACACACAAACATACAGCACATGCAGCAAACAAACGCCTCTCCTGGGTCTTTCCCTGAGTATTATTTACATTAGCACAGCCAATATGAATAATGAAATAAAGACTGAGATCTCTTGTCAGAGGTGACATTTTAAAACAGTAGCATCTCCCTTAGAGGCAGTAATGGCTTCTGCTACATTTTCTTGATCCTCTTATCCACTCCCACAGAGTGGTACAAATTGCAAAATGGAAACGATTTTCGTACCTATCTTGCTAAATAAAGGTTGAATGAATAAGCACTGTCACTACTGAATGAAGCACAATTTTTATCTGGCATGTCGTTATGGAAGAATAGCCTTCTGTCTATGATATTATCATCTGCAGAGGTGTTTTTTTTCTCCCTGACAGTAGGCTTCTTTATTTCAAAGTGGTTCTGTTACTCATGTTGTAGAAGAACAGCACAAAGCACAATCATGTGTTTTGCATCCCTGACTGATGTGTAAGTGTTAGGGAAAAAAAAGAAACAAAGCACAGATTCAGCATCTTGTTCCTGTCTGTCTCCACAGGCTCTTTGGAAGTTGTGTTTGTCAGAATGTGCCGTGCCTTTGACTCGCAAAACAACACAGTCTATTTTGATGGAAAGTATGCCGGACCTGATGTGTTCAAGTCATTAGGTAAGTGGAACGGGTGTATGTGTGTGTGCACGTTTGAATGAGTCTGCATGTGTGTGTTTTTTATGCCGCTGTGTTGGTGTGTTTCTTACAGTGTCTTACTCATTTCCTCGGTGTAATAGCCAAAATTAGAGTGTGCTGTTCTGTTCTACACACTGCTGAAGGCCTGGAAGCAAACTCGGAGCACTCATCCCTGCCTCACCTGGCATTGCTGTCTCTGCAACGGTTATTTATGGTAGAATAGAGACGTTAGTGAGGCTCTGCTGCATATGGCTCCTGTAACAGTGGAATAAATAAAGCCAGACGGAGTGTCTTTAGGGAGAGCGCTATCAAAACCATCATTGATAGTCTGACATAAAACATCTCAGGCGAAAGCAAATAGCATTTGTGTTTGACTGCCATGATATTAGTAAGACTCTCCACCATGGATTTTCTCGCATTTCCAACTGCATTTTGACAGAAGTTTTTTTTTTTTTTTTAACGTCCCATAGTGGCAGTAAAAAATCTGAATTCTGTTTCGTGGTGCAAGTTTACCAGTCCTTGTAACTCCCTGTTTGCGAGTGCGTATGAGTGAGCATGTGTATCTGTCCCAGCTTCGAGAGTCCCAGTGTCCTGTGTGTTCTGTACAGAGGGGTCCGCAGCGGGGGAGGCAGAGTGATGGGCTTCCCGAGCCGCGGTGGCATCCGCCTGTCTCTTTCTATCCCCGATAATTGATTTAACTAAAAGCCTCAATAGTGACCTCATTTTGCCTTGCATAACACCACCCAACTGCCAAAAGTGACTCGTCTGGGAGGCAAAACTCAGTAAAAGCATTGCCTGTTCTGCTTAAGACGCTCCCATGTGCTGTCAGCATGCCGCTCTTTTTCATTTCTTCCCCTTCCTCTCACCTCCCTGTGTGCCTCTCTCCCAATAAAGATCAAGAGTGAATGTTGTTCTTTGGTCTTCCTCATCCTAAGCCCTCTCTCTGTGTCCTTTGCTGTGGCAGGCTGTGACGACTTGATCAGCTCCGTCTTCGAGTTTGGGAAAAACTTGTGTTCTATGCACCTGTCTGAGGATGAGATCGCCCTGTTCTCCGCCTTTGTGTTGATGTCTGCTGGTAGGTGTCACTCACAGTGCAAAGGGAAAAAAATGGTAGACACACATTCACCACAACAAGGAACGCTGTTATGCTCCTGTTTTTCCTCTATCAATTAATAACTTTTATTACTGGCACTGCGTCATTGCTTTTCACAAAAGTAATCTTCCTGCATGTGTTTGTACAGCAACAAAAAGTTGTGATAATTTACCTTTCAGACCGGTCCTGGCTCCAGGAGAAGGTGAAGGTTGAGAAACTCCAGCAGAAGATCCAACTGGCCCTCCAGCATGTGCTGCAGAAGAACCACAGAGAGGATGGTATACTCACAAAGGTACAGTGTGATGCAGCACACAAACCATCCATTATCACTTAAAGTGCCTGTCTGCTAAGCATGCTCTCCCCTTGTAGCAGTGCAATCTCCCACTGTTTAGGATCTGGATCAGGCCATCAACCATTCTTTGCACATTAGCCTAAACTAACACAAATTTCAGGGGAAGCATTCGTAATGTTACATGAAATGCCTTTTTATCAGTAGAGGAGTGGCAATTAATCAATTGTACCAGCTCCATAATATGAAGTGTCTTTCCTCGTGCCTTAGCGCTTGTCTCAATATTTACAAGTCTGTTTGCCCCTGTGTGAGAAGGAATATACTGTAGGGAGGAATGTTTTTCACTACCATTGCTCCATGTCCTTGCTTCCTTGTGAATCTAAACAGCCTGTCTCCTCTCTCTCCACAGTTGATATGCAAAGTGTCGACACTGCGAGCGCTGTGCAGTAGGCATACAGAGAAGCTTACAGCTTTCAAAGCAATATACCCAGACATTGTGCGTGCCCACTTCCCCCCCTTATACAAGGAGCTGTTCGGATCAGACTTTGAGCAGTCCATGCCCGTTGACGGGTAGCAGCCCTGCCAGGTGCCAGTGTGCCCACCGTAGGGGAATGTGGAGGAGGAATCTGAGACACTTTATTGGTGCCCTGCACAAACCAGAGCGGACAGATGGCACGCTGTTCAACTCCTTCTTTTACATCGGAGGGGAGGGCTTAGGGAGTTGATTCTCAAGGTTTACTTTACTGAATTTAGTTCTCTTTGGAAGACTTGTGGGACCCGACACCCCATGGGACATGAAGAGGAGATAGGGACAAATAATTTCTGTCTGGTTGAACTTGACCCTCTTTTGCGCATTTCTAACATGGAATTCATGATTCACTTAATTTCATTCATTCATTTTCACCAGTATTTATTGCATCACCATCATTGTGAGTTTATCTGTGCATCTGACTTGTAATTGTATAACCAATTAACGAGTCACTTTTGGAATTGAAATAGTTTTAAGATGTCTTCAATTAGAAGATAAATCCACATCAGTATGTTTCAGGTTACACTCCCAAAACAGTTTCAATATTGTCATATTTAAAGTTTTAAATAGTCTTATCCCTATCTGTCCCCAAAGTGAAATAAATAGCTGATAAATGCGCACATTTTGGTCAAGTTCAGCCGTTTTTCTCTTGTGTTCAGTTGTATCTTTTGGACGCAGTTCCTGGAATGAAAACTCACAGCGACTTTGAGGGAGGGTCTGTCGGCATGGTGATGCAATCGGCACCTCTCTATGGACAATCGTTAAAAAAAAAAAAAGAAACATAGAATTCTGGTAATTCTAATGAAAAACGCAATGATTTTAGCTGTCAAAGACTCCATCCACCATTGTTGCATAGTGAAATCATGTAAGGCCATCTGCTATTAATCCTTCTCTGGACAGGTGCCCTGGAGAAGCACAGGGCACCAACACAATGAAAAGGGTCCATTCCACCTGTTTTATAATGTACTACAGGGTATATGGTCATAAGTACTTACTATACAGAAAAAAGTAATGTTTATAGAATCTATTTTAAATAACATGTATGATATTAGTAGTTAGACCATTCTTAATTGTTGAATTGATAAGGCACTTTTATTTACACTTTTCTTTAATTTAAGACTTGTATATTTACCTAGTGATGTGTTGCATGTGCACAAGAAATACAAGTTGAACCATGGTCACAGAGGCTAGTCCTGGGAGCTGCAGATGATACTGGTCTGGAAGTGTAAGGGCTGTCTGTCAGGATTGCTGGTGTGGCTGCTGGTTGGTGAACAAAGAGGCATGGATGAGAAGACATTTTAGAGAAGCTCTGTCACCTGTTACCTCAACAACTGCCTGTCAGACACCTGTCAAAATGTAGCTCTTATACTCCTTTTAGCAAGTATGGACACATACAGTAACAGCCAACAAACCTTCTAGTGACGTTACAGTCTCGTGGGTTTCTTGATCTTTCTTATGAATACACCCGGATTGAACATCATTTGTTTAAACCTTTTTGTCTAAATAAAAATATTTGGTACACATTTTACTGTGAAAAACCTCACATATTATGTGAAGAAGGGCACAACAAAACATGAAAATCCAACATTATTGCAGCCAGAGCTTATAAATCAACATTAAATAGCCCTGAAGCCGGACTGGAAAGATCACACATGGACTGTAATCCAATTGTTCCATCTAGTGGAAGGTATAGATACAGCAAGTGAGTTAACAGCCTAAGCCTGACAAAGATGCAAGGTCTACCTAAAAGCACAAGAGCCTCTGTCAAAATGTTTTGAGCGTTTTTTGTTGTTGTTTTTGAGTGACTTTATTTGCCTTCTCACCACAGCCTCAGCCCACCAATGCCACAACAGGAGACAGAAGGAACAGTGAAGGGAAAGTGAATATTCAAAGCCTTGTCTGGTAGTAAAGCTTCTATTTTTGTAACATGTTTTGGTTAATAAAGTCATGAAAGAGAACGAGGGAGAGAAAAAGATGTCAGGTAGCACTTAACTATATTCCCGCAATAATTAGACTAGCTGTTGTTTGTATGATTAGGGGAGAAACATAAAAATGGTAGGACAAGTGCTATTTTCAGAATGCTTTGTTGTTGTGTTTCCGTTATGTTGAGTGTGTCTTTCTTGTCAGTGTGGTAGTAAAGTGGTAGAAAAAAACTCTGGATGTGCCAAACAGTAGTCGTTGCTTCCGCTTTCCAGTCTACTCGTCTATAATGTAGAATGGATTCCTAAGACATTCCAGCAATCTCTGTAGCGGCTTCTAGAAATATCTTTTAAAAAAGAGCAAAAAAAAAAGAAATGAAAAAAAAAGAAAAGTGATATCCCTTTAGAAACCCAACAAAGCATGTTAATACATCTGTCACCAACAGTAACATAGAATCCAGTTGTTTGTCTTTTGTTTTCTGTTTGCACACTATCATTCCTCTGCAGTGCAATTTGCACAAGACGTTAATGCCTTGTGCTGTCACCCCTCAGGGACGAGTTTCTTTTGCGCTTTCTGTTTTGAGAGGACATTTGTTTGTACTCATTAGGTTTAGTTTATGTTTTTTGTCAGTGATTGAAATTAATATTTGAATCTTCATCACAGAGTGGTTTCTGAATTTTCACATTATTGATGTCCTTTAGGGGCCTCCAGCCACTCAAAGACCACCACTGCGCCCCCACTGTCAAGTTCAAGAAAATGTCATTTGTAAAAACAACAAAACCCCATCACTTTTACAAACCGCAGTTTTATCAGTACACAGCATATTCCTGTCACACAAAAATCTGTTTTGGTTTCAAATGGTGTCATCAGGGTCTTAAAAAATGATAACCCTCTTTATTAGAAAAACCAAATATTCTTATGCAATACTAAATCTGTTGTGTTTGGGTTGTGGTATATGCTGTACCCAAGTAATAATCTCTGTTATGATCCAATGCTATTTGGATATGCACAAGCCCTCTACGACTAGTAAACCTCAGTCTCCCAGCAAAAGAAAACCCAGTCTGGAACACTGCTAGACAATCCAGGTTGAGAGGCCCAGTGGCCTGGCAAGAGCAGCGAAGAGGATGAGGTGTGAACGCTCAGGGAGGTAACGGGTAGACCGAAGAAGCAGCTCGCTTTCCTCTGGACAGTTGCAGAGCATTTGATTAGCTCTGTTATGAATTAATGAGGTCTTTAAAATCTCTTCAAAGCACTCAATTGATGAGAAGAGGTAGCATAGCACACTGAACGGTAGTTACAGCACTTACTGTTCAGAAAACAATAAAGAGATGGAGATTTGGCTGATTTCCTGTTATTTATTTGCAAAAAAAAAAAAAATTTGGTTTGTTTCTTGAAAATGATTCAGTTTTCTTAAGCTGTTGTAATATTGCTTGATGGTCACATAAAACAGTATTTTTTCTCAAATATGATCAGCAAAGGTCTACCACCAAAACGGTTCTCCTCTCATAAAGTGAAAATTTGTTTTTCATTTAAGTCTACATGTTTGAGTGGCATGTAATGTGTTCTACAATATAAAACAAGCAATATGCCTTGTGTTACAATTACGGGTCTCTACAGTGCAGTCATCATCCTTTTTGAATTGACTTTATTCATCCAGCTGATTCAAACTGATAAGGTTTACTCTCAGTCTAGAACAAAAAATAATAAAGCCCCATTACTCTGTTTTCATCTTCTTATGTACTGGTATTGTTGGAAGGATAGCAGAAAATGGTCATCAAACACATGAATACTTGTGTCTAACTATAAACTGCGCCTTCGCACAGGCCTGTAAAGTGATGTCCTTCTGTATATTCTCACTTGAGATATCCCAATTTACTGTAAGTAAGGGATTGATGCTACGTGTGCTATTCAATCAGTGTATAGTATTCAGTAAAATGTGCTGGTCCTTCTGTCTCTGCTCTGTTGTCTGTTTGTAAAAAGCAATAGTGTGTGTGTGTGTGTGCGCGCGATTGTGTGTGTATGTGTTTGTTCTCGCAGTGTGTGAATAAAATAAACCCCAGACAAGGCTTTAATAATTACAGAGGGAACAGGGTTATGTGGAACGAGGAGGTCTTGATTTTATTTTGGGACTTTTTTCTTTTTTTTAAAAAAAAAAGGCTTTGGAATTGCTGAGCTTGATCCATCCATAAATAGGTGTAGGTTTTTAAAAGCATGACATAATGCCTTCAACAATTCATGGGTCTGCAGGATGCTGTGAGGCAACATTGACCAGCTTCACAGTGCAAACATGCTTCGCTATCAGTTCGGACAGCACGGCAACAGCCTGAGCTGAAATGAATTGGAGTGAATTCTGGACTGTAAATTGTGAAAAATGAGTCTTCTTGACCATACAAATTGTGAAGATCAGAGTTATGTCACGCTTAAAGTTGTGCTGGAGTGTCGGTGTGTTACCCAGAATTATGAGTCAGTCATCATACTTTAACATAACTCACTTTCCAAAGCACAGCTGATAAGGATTTATGATTAAAAATACGTTTAAGAATATAGTTTAAAAAAAAATTGAAAAGCAACTTTTAGCCATAATCGAATGTCAAGCAATAATATATGTCTGTGTATTATTTTTGATTCTTTTGTGCATAATAGTCTTTGAACATCTGCATGTAAATACACCTCTTATTTATCACTTTTTTGGTTTTGTTTTATTTTTGTGTTGATTTTGTGGATGTTTTTATGTTTCATCTGTATATTTGACCAGTTCTGTTCCCAGGTGGAGAACTAAGAACTTGACATGGCCTGTATGCTGTATATCTTATTTTCTCTCTCTTTCTCTCTCCCTCATTCTCGGCTGTTTATTCACCATATTTAATGTTATTATTGATCACATGTATAAAGGTAGCTTTGTAATTTCTGTCTGTATAGGTAAGAGGAAAATACTGCTACTAAGGCCTACCCAGTGAAAATATTTATCTGTTTATCAATTACACCATATTGTACGATAACTCTGTTTCTAGTTTGCTTCCCTCCTCCTTTAGGATTAGTTTGATAGCGATAGGGTGTGCTGACATTTATTTTGTGTTGCCCTAATGTGTGGTGCTAGGTAAGTTAATTTTGTGAACAAAGTATTGATTCCTAAGCCTGGCCACCCTATTAGTCCATTCATTTCATTGCATATTAATGTATTATTGATATTAGGACTCAATAAATAATAATGATAATGAAAATGATAGTGGTAAAAATTACCCAGCCAGTACCTGTATCAGTGTGCTCGTCTTGGGATAAGGCACTTATTTCCTTCTGACTTATAGCAAAGCTAGTATCTGCTAATTAACAAGCTATTTAAGGTTGCTTTCCTGGTTTGTGGAAAAATGATAATATTCAAACTGAAACAGCAGTATTGTGTTTTTTCTTTGTCTGATTGTAAAAACCACTCACTGAGGCTATAGTTTGTCAGGTTTTAAGATACTAAATATTTACCTCTCTTGCGTCTGCATAGTTCTTCACCTGATGCAGGGAAGTGGTGCTTGGATTTTATTAAACAGAGCCTCGGTATGCTTTTGTTATTCCCCATTTTAGACTATCCTGAAAGTGGTTTCTTCAGACCAGTGGCATAAACCTCTTGCACCACATGAAGTGTTACAAATGTACATGAAAGAATTGCCATTTGAGGACAAAGTTGACCTTTTCTCTCCACTCTGTAGCAAATATCAGTGAGAATATGCTTGCAATAATATACAACGTATCACACTGAGTGCCTCTTGGTGTAACAAGATGCATACATGGTTTTGATTGTCTTTTTTTGTGGTTTTTCCAGACGTGTACTGAAGTGACAATGTATTTTGTACATGAGGATGAATTCTCACTCTCACATGCTTCAAATGTTTTTTCAGAGTCTTTCTTTTATGTGATGGTAATCATTTTCACGTGGGTTGATGCACTATGTGAAAGGGTTTCAATGTTTTGATGGTCCGTTTTTGAGTGTAATGTCACATCCCTCACCTTATTTGAGAAACACAACTGGAAAGTTTGTTTCATGTTGATCTTGAATGGTCAAATAAATGGTCGCAGAAAATATTACACAAAAGTTCACCTGCACGTTGTTTTTTGTTTTTTGCTTAGGCAAAAACTAACAGGCAATCCACTTTTCTTCATTTTCTGTTTGTTTTATATCAGCTCCTTTTTTATTTAATCGGAGAACAGAAGATTTACTAATGCATTGTATGTCAAGTATTTGTATGTGTTTGTAAAAGAGGCATACAACACATCTGGATTTCTTTAATGTTCTGTGTTCAACGCACGCTTTTACGTCGGTTGGGGTAACGTGAAGGGTGGGTGGAGCACGGGTCGATTCTTTTTTTTCCATGCAAAAGCAGTACAAATTATGGGAAAGCCGAAACTAGTGTGTGGTTGTCACAAATTTCTAAGTCACACGTTTGCTACTGATGTTAAAATGGGGACAGATGATCATGTACCTTTTTATCCAGCTCTTTTGAACTCTCTTTAGCAGGTAGTCTATTCACAAACGTAGTTTTGCTCCTTCTTGTCTGATTCTTAAATATGAAAATAAGTATTTTGATTCATTTTGTAAATACAGCTGTAAAGAAAAATAAGAAATTTAATGTTGTCTTTTAAATACTTTTCATTCTAATATGAATGTTGTTATATTGTACTTAGAAACTGTACCTTTAATATTACCTTTATTAAAAGTGCATTGGACACATCGATTTTAGATGTGCTTTATGTGCTGTTATCCCATAATAAAATTTACCGCTTGTAATGGGCTTTATTTCCTGACTCTTTATCTGTCTCTGTTGTCTGTTCCCTCCCAGCTCACTCTCTTTTAACAAAATTAGCTTGTTTTTGATTCCCAATTTTTTTTTCTGGCCTAACCATCCTAATTAGTGTTTTAATATTGAATCAGAGTTGGTAGCCTCACTCCACTGGAAACTGTTCTCCAAATTATGTAATTCAATTCAACTGGCAATAAAAATCTGAGCAAAGTTAGACTTTGTTGAAGAAAACAAAATAGTCCAACACACTATAACAGCATATAAACACTCCTGGCCATATAGCTACACAGTAAGATAAATATTAAGCCATATGAAAATGCAGTTGTGATCACGGCATATATCAAATATCAATTCAGTACATTAATAACATATAATTTCACCTGTCCAAGAAACAATTTTTGGGCATTTATTGGTTGTAAAGTGTGCTTTTGAAATAACCTGAAAGGATTAAAAAGGTGCTGCAATGAGGTTCTTGGAAGATAGACATGTCTGGCGAAGATCTATAAATGATATATTACATGCACCGACTCAGACTAGGTCTGGTTTATAATGAACAAGGTCATGAACGGGATCACTTTGGGTGCACACTATAAATAATTTGCACTGTGACACTGATTGAATCCAGTAGTTGGCCGTCATGTGACGCTGGCAGATTCCAGCCGCCATAAAACCAACAGAAGAAGAAGAACAAACATTACCGCTAGCAGGCTAATGCTAACGTTGTGTTAACTAACGAGTAGCTTTAATGCTGTCTGTCCTGTGGTGACAACAATGGAGCTAGTGTGGTATGTAGTATGGTCGTTGTATTTTGTGCAGAATGTCACAGTGGTAGATTTTAGTGGCGATTTAATTGTCTAACCCTACTTTAACTTTGGGCTAGCTCATGTTAGCTACAACGCTAGTTAGTGTACCACCACCGACCAAATGTGAGCAACAGACGTGCGCTTAACCTGGCAGTCATTACCGCTGTGTAATTAATGGTTTTGTAGTTATTCGTAAGCTGTTATTAATAGTTAAAACACAAGTCTGAACCGCGCTGCTAACTGGAGCTAGCAGACAGTGAAGCCACCTTAATAAGACTGGAAGTAAACAAGAAGTTATAGTAAACACCGAGCTTTTTTTTTTAGTCCTACAAAATCTGTGGCGTTGTTTTTGAACAGTGTTCCTACTTCAGCTAACGCTGTCTAACGTTAACGTACAAATATCCAGACTAACTAAACAATAAGGTTAGAGTTTAACGACGTTACGATAACGGTAGCTTTTATTTTGAAGGTTGAAACCGGAAGTTGTGTGTTTCGGTTCCCTGACTTGAAGCTGTGTAACAACAGACACGTGGTTGTGTGAGCCTGCTTAACTCCACTATCACAACAGTATGACAGCGTTTTAATGAGGCATCCTGTCTAGCTGTGGGCTAGATTTGATTGTTACATAACATAAAATACAACACAAAAAGCACAAAAAATGTTATATATATATATATATATAGTAATAATATCATTATAATATATATTATATATAATATATATATATATAAAAAATACTTTGCTATTTGAAACTATTTAGGAACAAACGACATGCATGGCACATTTTAAAATTGTAGCAAGGTGTCACAACTGGGTTGCCAGGTTGAGGACTGGACCTACAGTTCAATACCTTCTCCCCTCTCTGGATCACCATCAAAGGCATGAAACATTATTAATGTTACACAGAAGATCACAATCCAGTTTAGTTTACCTGATTAATGTTTATATCATATTGTTTGTTTTTGTAGTTGAGTTATTTATTAAAATAATGCTGTAATAATTATTACTTTAAAATGAACACATCAGTAAAGGTGAGCGTTATGTGTTGATGAAAGCCAACCACATTAAACGTCTGTTGTATTAATGTTTACAGAGCAATACGGGCAAAAGGGATTAACAAGATATTGTAATGAAACTGAGTTGTTATTAATCGTTGAGACAAACACAAGTTACAGTAGTGATAAGTGAAAACTTTCAATCACTGTATATAGTTTATGATTAATGATACTAGCAGTACTAGCACTGAGATCAGTAATAATAATTATTAAGCAATAATAAAATATAGTAATTAAAGATTTCAGTACTAGCTGTGATAACAACCTTACTGTAAAAGAATTAATAGAATACAGATATAACTGAATATTCATAACTATAACCGAACATAAAGGATTATAAAGTAACAGTGGGCACTGTTTGAGGCTCTAACTCCAGTGGAAATTGCTGCTCATCAGTCCGTCTGGAACGGTGGCTCTGTTGATGATAATTGGAGAAAAACTTTAGTTACTGTGGTGTGGACTAGTTCTTCAGCAAATAGTGATGGAGGAAAGAACTCATAGTTTCTATCTGTGCGTTTTGTGCAACAAACAGGTTAATATGGCCTGAAAGAATCAAACTCACGGTTTGCTTCCATCAGGCTTCGTCGGTCCTTATGGTAGTTGTAGTCTAGTGCTGTGAGCAGGGTTCTGGCCTCAGAGGCTCGTAGGCTGAATGCAGAAAGCTTACTGGCATACATTAGTGTGTGATTGTGGACAGACTCCAGGTCAGCTGCAGATCTGTAAAAAATAAATAAATTCAAGGGCCAAGATTTTGTAATTTTATTTATTAAGTTAAGTTATTCTCCCAAAAAACAAAACATAATACAGACAAAGAATTGGACATTAAAGTTTCTAAAAATATCATGAAATGATCTGCCCAAAATGAATCAAAATTGCTTCCTGCAGTTATTGTGTTCACTATTTGGGTTCATCCTACAGTTTATCGGTTTTTCTGTACTGTTATTGTTATTCATTCAATATAATATTAAATATCCATAAAATATGAATCTGTTTACTCAATGATAGAAAAGTGCTTCCTTGAGGAGAAAGATTGTGAATCACTGTCCTACGTGGTGGGGAATTAGCACCAGCTGAATATTAGTAAAATGAAATAATAAGACACAAATTAATGATTTACTATTAATGGTTGGTTAATTTGAACATTTATCTGTCAGTGGCTGGCCGATGTTTAAAATTTGCAATTTAAAAAGTTAATTTCCCACCCTGGTACCTACCTATCAACACTCCCATCTTGCATGGCAAAATAAATGCAAATCTGCCCCAGGACAAATAAAGGACAGTGCAGACACAGTTATGAATATATGGGTACAAGACATGTCCTCTAATAACCATATGTTTTCTTTTTTTAATTAAAGGGAGGACCCTCCAGTCCCTGAGGCTCCTTTCTTTACCAGAGAGCTCTATGACAAATATTCCCTTGCTCCTAATATCAGAGAACTGTGGGCCTTTCTCCAAAGGTATGTCAATAAATTAACATATTAAGAAATACATCAGTTTTGGGGCATTTTTACTGTGTTTTTAAAGGGTAACTAGAGAGTGTTTATTTGACTTCTTTGAGTTCTTTTGCCCTCATTTTTTCCCTTCCCGAAGTCCTGTAGAGAATGCCAACATAAAACAGGAGGGTGATACTGGGGCTGTACAAGCCTCTTGCGCTCCCTCCACAGAAGAAGCCGCAGAGTTTAAAGACAGCAGTTGCATCAGTAAGGAAGAGTCCCGCAGGGACAGCTGTGATAGTGATGATCCATGTGCAGACAATGTTGCAGGAGGCGCACAAGAATCTAAGGATACCAAAAAATCAAGAAAGAAGCTCAAGCAAGTTGAGAAAGAGGCAGATGCTCCTTATCCTGAACCCAGACTGCCCTTCCCCTGTATGTCAAGCCTGTCCTGCAAAGAGCAGAAGACATATCTTGACATGTTGATGAGTAAGAAAAAAAAGGATCTTCCACAGGTACTAACATTCTCTCCTTGATGGTATTTTAATTCTCCTTGTGTTGCTTCTTCAAATAATCTGCTCTCATATTTTAGAGATTAAAGGAGCAAGTTAACAATGAAGTGATGCAGTTCATGCGGTACCTGCAAGATGTGGCCAAAATATGTGCTGACGACTACAACTTCATATCACCAGGAGCTATGCAATATTCAGAGGTACTGGTACTACCAGAATTTGCACTCGTCATCAGCTCTGTGAGATTGTGTGTTTATAAGTATTACACACAGAGCCCTGGTTTGTTTTTCAGGATTTCTTCAGGGCCTGTTTGGAGTGTATTAAGACAATTCCTCAGGTTTACCAGATCCATGAGATGACTAGTTTGACAGGGGGCACATTCAACCCAGGTCTGAAGCTGACCTTTGAAAAACAGCTGCTAATCATGGTAATGTACCTTTGAAATGCTACTATCACACAAGAGCTTGTTCCAGTACCAGATGTGTAGGATTATCACTTCATATATTTAGGTTGTTCATGAATGCCATTGTCCACTTTTCTGTTCAACCTTTCAAATTGAAGAGTTAATTGCAGAATCAGCCATTTGGTGTTGATTCACTTCCTCTATTTCCATATTTGTATCCTTTATTTCTCCAGGGCAATGTGGATATTACAGACCACAAGATAGTGCCTGCTGACGCACAGCTTGCATCGGATTATCAGAGTGTTTCATCAGAGAATCCTCCGGCTAAAAAAGCTAAGGACATGCATGCTGTAAGCAATTGTCTCACTTTTTTAATTATTCCAATAAAGTAAGTCACAAAGATCTTTTACTGCCAGAATAGGATTCATGACCGCAGGTCTATTGTGACTCCATTTCAGCTCTTGCAGTTTTCACAAAAGACACCAGAGGGTGTTCATGTGTAGCTCAGCAAAACCAGTGCTAATTGTGTTTTTGAAAAATGGCAGGTCACACACTGTACTGTCCACTAAATCCAATTTATTGTAGAAAGTTATGTACAGTAGATGTTCTTGTAGTGTGACCCTGTCTTATTTTTCTCCGCAGCCAGTCAGCTGTGACAGTAATGCAGAGAGCCTGTGTGCTCGTTACGAGCCTCACGTGTGTCTGACTCGAGATGCCCTGGTCAGGCTGCTGGACAACCATGGTCCTGACTTTGGAGAGCAATGGGAACTGCCTGTCTGTGTCAAATTAAACCCAGGAAAAGGTACAGCATTTTAATTTAGCCACACTGGCTGTTATGGTGGACGTTTGATTAGGGCCAATTTAGGCATTGCTTCCAAATCATGGCAAACATGTCCCCAAATAATCATCCTATTTTATCCTGTCAAAGCCAGATATTAAAATCAATATTTGTGTTCTGAATAATAAACATACAGTAACCTATATCTTGGCAACAAAAAACTACAAAACCTATGTTTGAATGCACCAAAGTTAGATAATGACCCCGGAGATTTACCTCGCTTCATTAATGTCAAAGAATATTATGTATAGTAGTTTGTAAAAACAGAAGAATACACTAGGAGTTGCTAAATACAAATGATATAAGAAAGGGCTATTTCTAAAATTGAAATAATAGTGTGTAATGGCCTCATGGGGCCACTGTTTCTCACTTCTTAATTACAGGCAGCAGTCAGAAGAGGACTGTATACATAGACTCACCACTTCTGAAGACTGAAATGACAGTGAGAGAGAGGAGTCATATCTATCATGAGGAAAGTTTGAAGCTTTCCATCATCAAGAATGGGAGTAAAAATGTGTTCCATGTAATGACAGAGCTTCCAGTGAATGAGGAGCAACTCTCACCGGTATGTTGACGCACATGTGGTCCTATACATGGCATCATGTACACGGTCTTAATTTGTCAGAACAATGATTCTTTGTTTTCTGTTTCTAATTCAGGAGAGCTCAAAGAGAAATTTAGTTTCTTTTGAAAACAACGGTCTGGACTTTGAGGTGGACCTCACTGACCTGGAGACATTCGGAGAGATGACACCCCTTAAAACCGCCAAGATGCAGAATGAGCAGGATGTATGTGTTAAAAGTAAAAAAGCTAAAAGTGCCCCGCCTTTAGATAAGAATAAAAGGTCCAGTGAGCATCTTGGAAACAGCAGCAGTTCACAAAAGGGGAAGAACCTCTCATTGACAGATATGGATGATCCCATAACAAATGAGACAACTCAGCCAGCTGTGAGTGAGACCACTGAACCAGAAACTGAACAAAGGAGACTGGACTCTGCTCAGGAAAGTGACAAAGACCTAGCTTTTATAGGAGACTCGGATGATGAGAAGTTGGTCATTGATGACTCTGTGTCTATACCTACAACACCGGCAAAACAAACTACGCTTCAAAACACACCATGTTCTGTAGACCCGCTGATGACTCCTGTCTCTGAGTCTATACCTGTAAGTTCAGAGTCATCTTCCCCTGAAAAAGTTTCAAGGCAGAGGCGACAATCCAAAAGACTAAAGGTACCTGGAGACCAGCTGAGTGAGATTCTGCGTATGCAGACAGCCATGTTCTCTGCCAATGACACAGCCAAATGCTCCATCATATCCCAGGGGACAAACTCACCCACCAAATGTGTGGGACCCTCAGTTCACTCCCATTCAGTGTCTCTGGTTAAGCCCTGTGTGTCCTCATATTTAGAGAGAAACCAGAATGGAGAGAACTGCGCTGCTCCTCACGGATCTGCACCAGTGTGCAACATTGCTTCTACAGAGCACAAAAGTTAGTTTCAATTTGATTTCTATTCTGTGGATTTGTGTCTGTGTGCTTAATTAACATACAGTATGTTATTTAACGTACTGTAACGTACCCTCGACACAGAAATACTGTCAGAAGTCCTGCAGGCTGGTGCGGAAGATGAGCAAGATTACAAGGCTCCAGAGAAAGGCAACCTGCTCTACAAACTCTACAGCCTGCAAGACTTGCTGCTCATGGTGCGCAGCTCTGTCTCCCTGACCCATACCAGAAAAGTAGGCGGCAGTGAAAACCAGGTATACATGTTAGTTTATACACATCCTCCAGAATTTCAGTTTCATTTCACATATTAAGTATAAATTGAGTATATGCAACAGTCCTACTTCTGTCTTTTTTTTTCCTGCCCCAATAGTCTGTGCCAGTACATGTCTTGCCCAAGCTGGAGTATCAGTTGAGTTATGGTGTTGAGTGTCTAAGCAGCAGTGAGGCTTGCCAGCTGTGGACTGAGACATTGCTGCACTCCAGCACTGTATCCTACACAGGTAAAACTTTTATAACTTTTCCCTGCAACCCCACTGTTTCTAAATTCAGTGAAAATCAAGACAGAAATGTTCCCAAATTTCTCTCAGCCCTTGTGTAATATGGAGTATCCCTTCAGTCTTTAATTTTTAGTATTTAAAGTAACATTTATGCGGATAAAACCGGAGACGTTTCTCTTTTCATTTCCTCACAGGGTTTAGTAGAGTCCACATTGCAGATCCTCCCACAAACCAATGGAATAGTCTTTAGATGACTCACCATCCTGCTGTGACTGTGTAGTGATTGAGTTTACTTTGTTGCCATAACTACAGCCACACTTGATTGTGGGGAATTACAAAGAATGCAGTGTGCAGAGCTCAGCTAAATGTTGTTTTGAAGCTTAGTTCAATTCCCCTAATGCATATTGTCGACTTAAGTGTGCTACTTACCTGTAGCTCAAGATTCAGGGAAAGACTGCATACTTTTTCTGTATTAGGTTCATTGATTTGTTGACTTGTATAGGTGTTGGCTGGGAATGTACGTCATTATCTACCCAGCATAAGGAATTCTTTTCTGTCTATCGTTGACCTCTAAATTGTACCCCCTTCTAGTCTGTTAGCATAGTTGATGTACTGAGTAGGATCTTCAGCATTACTGTAACTCCAACAAGCTTCTATACTGGTTTCATATAATCAGCTTCACTGCTATAAATAGTTTTGCCAAACAGTGGATATAACCCTGTATTAAGCATCTGAGACACTATATTTAGTTTCAGTCAAAAAAAATTGTGAAAATGTCTTACATTACATGAATGGCCAGTAAGACAACAGTGATAACATTCAAGCTTTAACAAAACTATATGGAAAATCTTACATTATTAATGGCAACAGCCACAGCTGATAACAGACTTCCTTCTTTGTTTAGTGCTTTGTAGTTCATCATGTGGTTTGTCATGTGGCATTCCCCAACTGTGTATTTATGGCTGTGGTTGCAGGCTCTGAAACAGCCCATAATTGAAGGAAGGCCCAGTTGAAATAAGCAGGCATTACAAGCTGGAGTGGGAGGCAGAAAAAGGAGACAGGACCAACAAGCATTTCTTACCGCCCACTCAAGCTTGTAACAACGCTGGCAAATCATCACAGACTAATTACTTTGTAAGCACTAGGAATGGCATTGATGATGAAGTGAAGCTCTTGATGTGCACGCTCATTAGCTCTTGTTCTTTTCTCAGTGTATCTCTCGCTCTCCCTTTTCTGTCTCTGTAGCTCACATCAATGCACACACATCAAAAGTAGCTCTGCTGAGAAAGCTGCCTGACGACTGGAAACAGAACATCTCCTGTGGGTTCAAGTGAGTGTCGTTACAACAGATATGTGCAGATGATTAGGATTAACCCAATCTCCCCTGTATGATTATGTTGCTTAAGAGGCTGTCATGTAGAGATTGAATCATTTTATCATTAATCCAAGCCTTGTCATCAATGGTAGTTATTGTCACCTCTGGTTTTGTCATCAGAATTAGTGTTGAAATTTAGATCCCTACGAAAGAACACAAGCTGTAACTTGGTGATGTCTCTTTTCCATACACAGGCCATCCAAGTCACTAAATATACTGCACCACCTAGTGAAAAAACTCACTGGGTAAGTTGTTAAAGATATTCATTGTCTGCGTTCTGTTTGGAGATTATTAGTGTTGAGCTCTTGGCAGGATCTGATCCCCTCATTCTGAAAATGTATTGTATGTATGAGAGAATGTTAGTCTGGGCTGGCTTTACATCTTTTGATTTAATGCAACAGTTTTGTGTGT